GTGAACTCACTGACATTATTTATGTGAAATCTAGCAGATTTCATTGTTCTGAGGCTTAAGTTGCTTACAAAAAGTCATTTCTAAATGAAACTTTGATCTTTTGAAGGTGGGAAAGAAGGCTTGATTTTTTAACGAAGTTAATCTTCAATTGATTCTTAAGATAACAGGGAAGCTTTAGGAGCCTAATTAAGCCATGTATTTGCTCTAATTACCTCAGCTTCAGACTGCTAAGAAATAAGAGCAGCACACAGACCTGTTCTGTGTGCAGCAGTCAGGCATTTGCTTGTTGTTTTCTCCAGGAGAGGTTTTGAGTAGCACAGACGTAAAAAAGCTGAGAAGCAAAGCCATCATCTGTAAAAGGTGGCTGCAGCCACAAATCACAGGGCAACCCTTATTCCTGCTTAGCAAAGAAAGCATGTTCACTGGGCATGACTTTATTTATGTCCAAACACAGGGAAAGCAACATCCTCGTTAGCATCGTTTTTGAGTATCAAGAGCTGCACCACATTTTGAGCTAGGTAATTAAACATTAGCTCCCCAAGATTATAGGCTAATTTATGCATTGGGCAAGAATAATATTTCTTTCATTATGGTCACTTTTCTTCTTAGGCTTTATTCTCTTGAATAATGTCACTGAAACTGTCCATATTTAATGCAACCATTTAATTTTTAAGCTAAGTAAATTCATATTTCAATTATTCTTTTTGATTTTAGTACAAGTTGAGTTTAGAATACCGATGATCATGTAGATAATAAAAAGCAATGAGTTTTTATTTTCACTTATGAATCCATTCAATCTAACACTTGCTTTCTTAAAACAGGATTCACAGGAAATTCCTTTTAGAGGCAAAGCCCATTAAAGGCATATTTCTTCATTAGATGGAATTTGTTTTAAAGGTACCCTGGTTTTTAACCATGTACCTTAGTTTCCAGATGTAAAATACCAGTTGCAATATTTGCAGTTTTTCCCTCAGCTAAACTGGCAAACTAAAAAGAAAAAAAAAGATAGGTTTTATTACTTCTTAGCTGTTGTTTTAAAAACCTGTGTGTCAGACTCTTGATTCAGAGTCCAAGCTTTACAGGAATTATAACTGGATATGCAAAGTGATTTTAATTTTCTGGTGTAACTTGTCCTAAAAGTAAAAACAAAAAATTAAGAGACAGCAATCTACAAGCAAAGGATAGAAGAACATTACAAAAACCATCTGGTGAGTTCAGGCCAAACATAAACTCTCCAATTTTTGCCTGAAACACTGAGATGTCTCTATCACCACCCCTCTGCTTTATTTTGCTTATGGAAACCTGACCTAAACTAAGCAACTATTCTATATCATTAAGTTGTCCAGGAAGATGAAAGTTTAAATATACGTCAGACAAGCTGCATCATCTGCTGCAACTCAGTAATGATGGCTTCTCCAAAGCACTTCGGTGTTGGAAGAACTCTAGGACAGAAAAGGTTTGGTTGATCTATCGGAAGAAAATAATGCTCTTCGAGTCAGACCATCTCCTTGCTCACAGTACTCACACTTAACCACATTCTCTTCCATTGTTGGAAACAAAGAAAGTACAACTCACTATATCGCTAATTTCACTTGGCTGTAGTCAAATAATATACATTGGGCACATAATAATATGCCTTGAATAAAGACGGATCAGCACTGTTAATCTTTCACTGCAATTGATCGTTCAAAAATCATTTCCACACAACTTTTTTTTTAAAACATACTGGTTAGTTCTAGATTTTCCCCGAGTAGAGAGTAATGCCATATAGTATTGTTTAAGAATGGCATATAAAATTTAACTAATGTAGATGTTCTTTTATAGTTTGTTGTCACAAAAACAAACAACTTCTCCTTTAAATATGCACATAAGCTTAGACAAATGAGATCTTTTAAAAGATGATTGGAAGTGATCATAATGACATTTGTGTGTAACAACAGCTCCTTTATAAACTGTGTTACAAAATGCATTGAGTCAAATTCACACATCTTTCAAAATAGAAGAGAATCAGGTTTAGGTGTGATTTTTAAAATCAGCAGATGAGAAAAAACTTGCAACAAATATGACAAAATTTTAATATCAATATCTTTATTATATAAACAAATCACACACATAAGAAAAAAACACCAAGAATCCAATAAGACAATATAGTACCAATAAATATACATACAAATATTTTTACCTTACTAGTAAACAAAAATGCAAATGAAATGAACAGTCGGAATAGCATTTCAGTTATCAGTGATTTCTTTTGTAAAAAATAAGAATGTCCAATGCTGACAATTGGCGTGTCGACAGGGTAAACTGGTATATTGTTTTTGAGAAATAATGTACCAAATATTTGTACCTTTTAACCCAGTAATTCCAGACTTCAGTTTTCTCCCCAAGGGAATAACTTGAACATTTTTTAAAGACAAAGACACAAGATATTTATTGCAGCATTATTTATAATATTGAAAAAAACTGAAAACCACCTAAATACTCCCAAAGCAGAAGGATGATTAAGTACATTAATAAACATTAGCACTGAGAATATATTCAGTGGGATATCGTGATGCATTTTAAATGGTGCTTAGGCAGATCCATGACAATACGGGGAAGTGTTATTGTGCAATCAGGTAATGCTATGTGAAAGACAGGATACAAAATTACATACATTATAAGCTTACTTCTTAAAAAGTAAGCTTAAAAGTTAAATATGTAGGGCAAAAGAGAGCATAAGGATTCTTAAATTTCTTCTTTTCAGTATTTTCCAAATTTTATTTCACATCAATTTAATATTTTCAGCATATTTTTTAAATGTCATGTTTTTAATCATAGTACTTTTAAGTGTATTGCCTTGTTTTCACATTTCTATTAAATGCAAAACCTTGTGCTTAGAAAGACATAAAATATCATAAAAAGTCCAAATGCGAGCATTCGCTATCATTTGGGTTGTAAGTGCAGGAGATCGTACACATGTGTGATGAGGCCGCTGAAACATGTTAGGTAGTAGCTCCAGTCCATTCACTTGCATTCTGCCTCCGGCCCCTTTCAGAAACCTCGGTTGCTTCTAGCACCTGTGAATATACCGGACCCATACACTGCTGGTAGGAAAGGAAACATTAATGATTGTTTCTGATATTTGGGGGAATGCCAAAACCAATTTATTTTTCCTCCAAATCAGAGCATGAAAAGGGTGCTGTCTATTCAAATATATTTGTTCTATTTCTAACAGAGAGCAAATTCTTCAGAGGGCAGAGATGGAGTCTATTTTATGATGTATACATTACCTAGCTTACTGTTAGTCTTTATAAATATTACCCTTTGTAACCAAGGGCAAGGGTGAACTAACATTCCATTCTTCTGGAGAGAAATTCCATATGTTCCCCCCCCCTTACAAATGTGGACACTCCTTTGACATTTCTGTCCTATCTCCATCCTAAAGAGTCTGAAATCTTATTGAAAGAAGGGGGGGCAGAGAGAAGAGGAGAGAGGAAGAAAGCTAGCGCGCGCAGGAGGTTACACTTACACTCCAGCAGTTTTTCCAAAAACAAGGGAGGCAGAAGTTCTTATTTTGTGATGGCAACCTGTAGACTGAAATGCAGCAAGGACCTTCTTTTCTTGAAGCGAGGGACGTGAAGTGTATTCTAGGATATGTACTCGGTACACTCCTTTGTTCAAGGACTGAGCTTTTCTTTCTGTAAAGTTTTTCGGTCTCCTTCAAGAAAGAGGACCTTAATATTTTGAGATTCTTTAAAAAGGCACCTTTCAAAGCACCTCCCCCGACAGAAATATCACCACAGCTCAACGCTCATATTTTTCAGTGAGAATCGAGTCCGATTTTTTTCAACATGGCTGTATACTTTGCAGGTCCCCAAATTTGTGGTTTCTTAGTCATCATTCAAATAGCCAGAAACACCATCTTTAGCGAACCTGTGTTTCGTGGGCTACAATAGGCTGTGTTTACAGATTGCGTTCATTTTGAAGGCACCGCTGTTATTCCTGTGTCTTATGAGTCGCTGGCTTTTGTCAGGGGTGGAGCGGGCTCTGGAGCGCCTACAGCGTGGTGGGCGGCAGGTCTGGGGGCCCAGGTCGTTAACACATTTTCAGGGATTGCTAACACTTTCTTCTGAGAGGCACAGCCAGCCGCGTGCAGCGGGAAAGAATGGACCAGATTGTGATAGGAATAGAGAATGTACGTGAGCGACAGGGAGAAAGAGAGAGGGCGCCCACAGAGAGGTCACTATAGCTCTGGGATTTGCACGAGTTTATCACCACCATTAACAGCTACTTTGCAGAGGGTTGTTTACCGCCTGAGCGCGCGACAAGCGAACTACGCAGCGAGGGGACCCCGGCCACGCCCCCTCGCCCCTCAGCTCCTCTCCCTGCCCCCAAACTAATGAATTCGGGGCCGCCTTCCTGCCGGACCCTCCCATTGGCTCCTATCTCAACCAATCAGAGCCTTGCAACAGTTTCACCTGGCTCCCGCTTCCCAAATAAACAAACCGTACCGCAACGGTGCCAGTTCCGCAGCCTGTGGCTGCTGGCGCTCCGCCCCCTCCTGCCACCTCTGGCCCCCTTCAGCCAATCGAGCCCTGGGTGTTGCGCCCGCGCCTGGTCCTGATTGCTGTCCGCTCTCTCCTCCACCCCTCCTGGCCTTTTCCCGCCCCCTCTGGCCTTCGTGGACTCCTCATTAGGCTTAGCGTGGCCACAGAGCCCCGCCTCGTCCTATCAGTCCTTCCTTGGACCACAGGCCCTGAAATTTACCAGGAGGGTCTCCGCCCAGCTGGAGGTGGCCCCGCCTCCCAGGCCCGCCGTCCCCTCCCTCGCACACCTCCACTGGTGGCCGCTTGCGCCCCTCCACTGCGCCGGTAGCTGGATCCGCAGCGGCCGCCACGTGAGGTGGCGGTCACGTGTTGTTTTGCCCGCTGCCGCGCGCCCAGAGTGAAGTGGGCGGGGGCGCGGGCCCAGGCGGGAGGGGGCTGGGGCGGGCGGAGGGGGTAGACGGCCTCTTCTCCCAACCCTCCCTTCCCTGAGCCCCCCCCCCCGCTCCTTCGCTCACCTTAAAACCATCGTGCATCACCATGGCGAGTTGCTCCTTTGCTCGCGACCAAGCGACAAGGAGACTGAGAGCTGCAGCAGCGGCAGCAGCGGCAGCTCTAACAGCGGTGGCGACCACCCCACTTCTTTCCTCGGGAACCCCGACCGCACTCATTGGGACCGGGTCGTCTTGTCCGGGAGCCATGTGGCTCTCCACGGCCACGGGCTCCCGGTCAGACTCCGAGTCCGAGGAGGAAGACCTCCCCGTCGGCGACGAAGTCTGCAAACGCGGCTACCTGCGGAAACAGAAACATGGGCACAGGCGTTACTTCGTGCTCAAACTCGAGACCGCCGACGCCCCAGCTCGGCTGGAATACTACGAAAATGCCAGGAAGTTCCGGCACAGTGTCCGCGCCGCGGCGGCTGCAGCAGCGGCCGCCGCCTCGGGTGCCGCGGTCCCCGCGCTCATCCCACCACGGCGCGTGATCACCCTGTACCAGTGCTTCTCCGTGAGCCAGCGAGCTGATGCAAGGTACCGACACCTCATTGCCCTTTTCACCCAGGACGAGTACTTCGCGATGGTGGCCGAGAACGAGTCGGAGCAAGAAAGCTGGTACTTGCTGCTCAGCCGCCTCATCCTCGAGAGCAAGCGCCGCCGCTGCGGCACGCTCAGCGCGCAGCCGGACGGAGAGCCAGCCGCGCTGGCGGCGGCAGCGGCGGCGGAGCCACCCTTCTATAAAGATGTGTGGCAGGTAGTAGTGAAACCCAGGGGGCTGGGGCACAGAAAAGAGCTGAGCGGCGTGTTCCGGCTGTGTCTTACCGACGAAGAGGTCGTGTTTGTGAGGCTGAATACCGAAGTGGCCAGCGTGGTCGTCCAGCTCCTGAGCATCCGTCGCTGCGGTCACTCGGAGCAGTATTTCTTCTTGGAAGTCGGCAGATCCACCGTCATCGGTCCAGGGGAGCTGTGGATGCAGGTCGATGACTGTGTGGTGGCCCAAAACATGCACGAGCTGTTTTTGGAGAAGATGAGAGCTTTGTGCGCAGACGAATACAGAGCCCGCTGCCGCAGCTACAGCATCAGTATTGGCGCCCACCTGTTAACCCTGCTGTCCGCTAGGAGGCACCTGGGCTTGCTGCCGCTGGAGCCCGGCGGCTGGCTCCGAAGGTCCCGCTTTGAGCAGTTTTGCCAGCTCCGGGCCATTGGTGACGGGGAAGACGAGATGCTCGTTACCAGGCGCCTCATAACACCCAGCGAGCCTGTGCCTCCCTCCAGTCGAGGACGGCCGCACCTGCCCAGAGCGCGCAGGTCCAGGAGAGCGGTTTCAGTGCCAGCCAGCTTTTTTCGCCGCTTAGCGTCCAGCCCGGTACGTGACCCGCACCCTGAAGAAGCCCCCAACGATCGAGCTTGTGAAGCCTCAGGCTCTGCCTCTGGCAACTCTGGGGGGAAAGGCAATCGTCAAGGCAAAGATGATGGTCAGGAAGGAAGCGAAGGCGACTACATGCCCATGAACAATTGGGGATCAGGAAATGGCCGGGGTTCAGGAGGTGGTCAGGGCTCAAGTGGTCAAGGCTCCAGTAGCCAGAGCTCAGGAGGAAACCAGTGTTCTGGAGGGAGGCAGGAATCTGGAGGTGGCCAGGGCTCAAGTGGCGGCCAGGGCTCAGGTGGACAGGGCTCCGGAGGAAACCAGTGCTCAGGAGATGGCCAAGGTACTGCAGGTGGCCACGGCTCTGGCGGTGGCCAGGGACCTGGAGGTGGCCACGGCTCAGGCGGTGGCCAGGAACCAAGAGATGGCCATGGCTCAGGTGGTGGCAAGAACTCTGGAGGGGCCAAGGGCTCGGGAAGTGGGAAAAGCTCTGATGGTGATGGTGACCGTGGAAAATCTCTGAAGAAAAGGTCCTACTTTGGCAAGTTAACTCAAAGCAAGCAACAGCAAATGCTGCCTCCACCGCCCCCACCTCCACCCCCACCAGCTGGAGCAACTGGTGGAAAAGGGAAGTCTGGAGGAAGATTCCGACTTTATTTTTGTGCTGATAAAGGAGCCACAAAAGAACGCAAAGAACCCAAAGAAGTGAGAAACACAGAGACCCCAGAAGGTGCAACCCGGGGTCTCTACAGACCCAGAGCTTTTGACGAAGATGAGGATGACCCATATGTCCCAATGAGGCCAGGGGTAGCTGCCCCTCTTGCAAGCTCTAGTGATTATATGCCAATGGCTCCCCAAAATGACTCGGCTTCAAAAAAGCGCCACTCTCGATCACCTTTTGAAGATTCAAGAGGCTATATGATGATGTTTCCCAGAGTGAGTCCACCACCGGCCCCAAGTCCTCCAAAAGCACCTGATCCTAATAAAGAGGATGACTCAAAGGACAATGACAGTGACAGTGACTATATGTTTATGGCTCCCGGAGCAGGTGCAATTCCAAAAAACCCTAAGAATCCTCAGGGCGGTTCTTCCTCTAAAAGTTGGAGCTCCTACTTCTCTCTGCCAAATCCTTTTCAGAGCTCACCCTTGGGACAGGGTGACCACAGTGAGTATGTCCCAATGCTACCTGGAAAGTTCTTGGGGAAGGGCCTAGACAAAGAAACCTCTTCCAATGGGGGCCCCAAAGATGCAGCTACAAAGCCTTCAGCTGAAGGGTCAGTCTCAAAGCCTGGAGATGGGGAGTCACCTTCAAAGCCTTCAGATGATGGGCCCCCAAAGAATAAGGCGAAGAGACCTAACCGACTTTCTTTTATTATAAAAGGAAATAAAATCAAGCCCAAACCACAAAAGCCCACACGTGAGCAGAAAGAAGCTGACAGCTCCAACAACTACGTCAACATTGACTTCACTAAAAGAGAGAGCAATTTGCCAAACCCCTCTGCTCAAGGACTGCCACATTCGTGGGGCATAATTGCTGGTCCCAGACGCTCCGCTTTTTCTAATTACCTGAATGTTGAATTCGGAGCGCCATTTCCAAACCGCCTCTCAGATCTTTTAAGAGCTATCCCAGGTGCCAACCTCTTCTGTCTGGATGGTGCTAGGTGGCCACATCCCCCCCTTCCTCCCAATGCCCCAGGTAGCAATGCTAATGTGGAAGAGGGTGACTACATTGAAGTAATGTTCAACCCAGCAATGACACCAGCCGTGCCTTTTGCTGACAGTGCCATTCGCTATGATGCTGAAACAGATCGAATCTACGTGGTCGACCCCTTTTCTGAGTGCTGTATGGACATTTCTCTCTCCCCTAGCCGATGCTCTGAACCACCACCTGTAGCTAGGCTGCTGCAGGAGGAAGCGCAAGAGAGAAGACGCCCACCAAGCCATTCGCAAAGTTTCTTTGCAGTTGCCAGAGCGGCTGTCTCGGCTTTTCCAACTGACAGCCTGGAGAGAGACCTTTCGGCAGCCTCCGCCTCGGCTGCTGCTCTGGCAGCGGCGCCATCCCTAGCGGTGGGTCGGGCGTTAGCCGCGGCCTCGGCGCTCGCTGCTGCTCCGGGCATCGGCGCAGCCGCCGCGGGCTTCGAGGCCGCCGCTGGCTTTGACTCCGCCTCCGCCCGCTGGTTCCAACCTGTTGCTAACGCTGCTGATGCCCAGGCAGCCAGCCGGGCCCAGGACGTTGCCGGGGGCTCCAATCCTGGAGCCCCGAATCCAGCTGCAGACCTTGCGGGAGGCGAGAATGCGGCGGGCGGGGCTGCCGCTGCAGCTCCCACCCTGCCACCTCGCCCCCTCAGGGTGCCGAGACCCCCAGAGAGAGCAGATTCTGAGAACAACCATGATGAGAACGACAACGACGACATTTACGTGAGAATGGACTTTGCGAGACCTGACAACAATAAATTCGACTCTCCGAAAAGAGGTTGGTCATTTTTGAATTAATTTCTGTAAGTTAATGGTCACTGATTAATGAGTGAGTTGATGCGCTATTATCTGTAGTGTTAGGAATAAGTGAGGCTTCATTAATTGGTGTTATTTGCCCTATAGGGTAGAATTTAGTTTTAATTATTCACGCGATATCTTCTTGATCTTTGCAAAATTTAAGCGTTTATCTAATCATAAATTTATGTGGACAGATTGATTATCATTTAAACATTGGTTCTACTTCTTAGGAGTAGTGAAAACTAAACAACATATACCATGGGGATGCTTTCATACATCCTTCCCCATCACTAAATGATAATGCAAAACAGCGCATTGTAAATTGAGTTCCATCCACTGATTTTCAAGTAGACAACTAAAAGGTGTTTTTCCATAAATGCCCATAGTTAAGTGCAGAAATTGAATAAGAACACAGAATATTAAGTAGTAACAAACAGGTATTAGCACTGTTACTTTTTAAAGAGCAGACATTGTTATGCTAGTTTGCTGTTGTTTACCAATAAGGTTAATTCTCAATTGTGAATGTGAATGGGACTGGAGGGAGATGTTGGGGAGGCAAAACATAAATAATCCAAAACCACGGGTGATTCAAAGAAGATAGTATTTGGCTCTGGAATGTATTTTTGTGTTGATCTGTTTTTGTTTTTGCACAGGATTAAGTATGAGAAAACCTGGGTGTTCCCTTTCCCTGACACTGGTAGGGACAGGCAAGTCACTTTTGCTATGCCTCAGTTTCTTTTAACACCCCCCTACTCTCTCAAAAGAAAGTGTGGTGACAACTTGATAATGGATATGAATATTGTTTCAAAGATTTAAAAAGCATTTAAAACATCTAATTGGTGTGTCTTCTGGGAAATCAAGGAAAGGCAGATAACAAGGCTGGGGGAAGACTTGACCTCTGGGGCAGCCTACCCTGGAACAGTGGGAGTGTTTTAAAGGGCTAATTTTCTAAAGGAAGAACTAAGGAAGAGTAGGAGCTGTTGGATTTAGAAACAAAACTTGGTGAATCTACTGTATACAAAATTGCACAATGTCTTGAGACATGTTCAAGAAGTGATTGCAGAAGGTGATGTCCCCATAGGCTGAACTGCTTTCCTTCTTTAGAAGAATATGCTTCCCCATGAAGGAAAGGGATGGACCCCAGCAGTTTTCATTCCAGTAGTCAGTTTAGTGAAGGTTTTTGCTTTGCTTGCTTTGTGGAATGCTTTTGTGATTGGATCTCTGCCCACTGTGCTTGATCAGGCAGAACAAGTTGGGGACTGATCACAACAGTCACCTAACAAGCTCCCTATTAAGTGCAGGTGTAGCCCCCCCAACCTCCCTTTTCTCCCCCAGCTGTAGAAAACTTGCCATACAAAAACTCACATTTGGAGCATAACACACTAAAAGAGTGATCATTAAAACGACAAAAGGATGCTTTGGGTTGTCAGAGAATTCAATTTAGATGTCCTTTAAATTGTGAGCCTACATACACACACACACACACACACACACACACACACACACACACACAACACCCACACACACATCACTACTACCATAACTATGCATTTAAATTTTATAATGCTATTATTCCATTTCTAAGAACTTAATTCATAATCAGCTGTTCAGGAACAGATCTTTTTTATTCTGTAAAATACACCTGAAAATTGGTCTTAAGCTATTGTTGGACCTTACTACTGAAGACACATGTACAACTTTGATGTAAAATTACACATCAAAGTAGATGATACATCAAAATAGCTGCTTGTGACCCTGTGGTTCTTTGAAAAGGATGAGTCTTCATAGAGGTCTGCTGATACTTTCCAGTACTCTAATCTTTGTTTAAGCAAAGATTAAAATGGTGCAATCTTACTTTTCTTCAAATGAACCCTGACTTCCTAAGGATTATTGAGATCCAATAATCATTATATTACCATAAATTACTGATTTATGACTTTACAGTTATTTTGGAGATTTAACATTCTCTAAATGTATTGTTTATTGAGGAAATTCCTAACTTTATTGAGTAACTGCAGCAAGAAGGCTATACCTCACAGGAAGCCAGGCACTTAGGTTGAAATCAGAGAAAGAATGAAATGTGGAAGCATTTTACAAATGTAAGATATTTTTTATTGCATCATTGGATTTATACTGAAGTGAAATTTCAACCATTTAATCTGATGATTTAGTTTTTTTGCAAAATATTTGGTGCTGAGGGTGATTCTTGTACCCAATTTGCTGAGATAATATGGATGGAATGGCAAGGGGTAGGGGATGGTGAAGCAACCCAGTGCAAGAAATGACTTTGGTTAGCATTTTAATGTGAATTGAGTCCAACTTTGTCTGGGAAGTGTTAAGAACAGGCTGGATGAATCTCATCAGTTTTAACTGCAAAGTTACACAATAACTTTCTCTTATTTCTCTTCATTTTTCTATCTAGCATTTAAGAAATAAAAAGATCATGTCGGGAAACCAAAAACAAACACTTTCATAGAAGAACAAAGGCACAGTATTAGGACTTAAGAGATTTCAAAAAGTACTTTTAATTTATAGAAAGTGCTTAGAACAAGGCCTGGCACATAGCAAGTGTTGTACATGAATAATAACTCATAATAATAATTATGTAGTTACCATCCACATTATTGTTGTCACTGTTATTATTAAGCTTAGAAACACAAAGCTAAATTAAAATTCTGTATCCTCAAGTGTTACTTTTCAGATAGTTTTGCTTTCATTTAAAATAGCCCTCATGGTTATTTACAGGATCTTTGTAGTTGAGATCTGTTTATAATTTAAGTGAGATTATAAGTTAGTGAGACAGCTTTTTTCATGTAAGGCAAAATTAATATATAATTGTACTTATCTGTAATCAAACCTCATATGAGTTTTTTTTTTTATGGGTGTTCAACTCAATTAGAAAGAAACACCCAGAAATATAACCTGAATGTCATTTTTTTAAATAAATGAAATATTCTTAAAAGTCTTCATTTTAAATAACCCATTAGCAATTAGGAGGAGAATGTAGCTTCTTAATATGGTTTAGTCTGACTCTTAACCCATGTATAACTTTGTGCTGCTTTTACTACTTTACCTGATGCAGAATTCATAGGTTGAAATGACTTGAGGTGAAAATTTCTCTGATTATTTCATTCAAGAGGCAGGATGATGAAAAAGGCAGCTCTAAAGCCAAATTAGTTATATTATAATAGCACTTGGTATTAAAAAGCAAAAAAAAAAAAAAACAGGAGTAATTAGCTTTTGAAATTTTAGGCACTGTTCTCACCATGTAGGAAGCCCAAGCTTCTTTAGAGAGTAATGCTGCCAAATCTTGTTGCTATAAATTATAGGTGCTGAGAGCAAATTATTTTTATTGTATTGAGCTTATTTATTAAAATTACTAGAATAAAATCTCCATATAGCAGAGATTTCCCAGCCACCATTGATGGGTAATTTATTTTAGACAACATTCAACCCTCCAAATTTGGATAGTCCTTTGGAGTAATGAGAGGTTTGACCTATAACAATTAGAGAGGACCCCACTCAGTTAAAGTTAGCTGAAGTTGTTGGCAATCATTATTCATTTGCATTCATTCTATTTCAGGAACGATGTTTGTAGGATAAAAATTTCAGCCACTAGCAAAACATCTATTTTAAACAAGGATTAGGACTTTAATTAAGCACACCCTAGTATCACACATGCATAACAACTCAGCCAGGATCTCTTGCTTTCTTTTCCCGTCCCTAATCGCCAAACATAAACCAAAATACTTCCGAGTCACTGGCAGGGAGTTGTTTTGGGAACAAACTCAGGCTTTTCAAAAAACTTATGTTTGGAACAGATGTAGTTGGCCAATGTAGGGAGAAGTAAGGAATAATGTGTGTGATTTTAAATGGACTATTGTTAAATTGTCAATTTGTTGATTGAGGGAATGCTTTCCAGTTGCAGATTGCCTTATAGTTTGCAAGGCACATTCACATTCGTTATTTTACTGGTGGATGGTAAGTACTGGAAAAGAAGCTGGTATTAAGAATTTTCCAGTGGTCAAAAAGGTAAGTGGTAGAGCTGCAAATCTAACTAAAACATCTGATTTCAAATCCAGTGTTTCACCTAGCACCCAACGCTTCTCCTTTGGTATTTAATCTTTATTTCCATACTGAGGAAAGGTTATTATGTAGGCAAGGATTAGAAAATTAACAAGTTTGCTTGAATTTGATAGTAGCAACTTTTGTTGTAATTTATTAAGAGTGGACTATCTGCAAGGGCTTGGGTAATTTTCATTATATTGAAATATTTGCAGTGGCTCTTAGAGTAAAAGAATTTGACCTGTGTTAAAATTGAATGTTTTAAATCTGATATGGGGAGGAGTTAGCTACTCTTTACCTTCCAAACACAAATAGTATGTGTATCTGTTTAGATATCTCAGAAACATTGAACAGAAATAAAGTGAATTGTGAATGTATTCAGTAAATTCCCATTACTGGTCATTTCTTAATTGAAGTTAGACTTCTATGGTTTTTCCTAATAACCCAGTGACATTTGCCAGTTGTTGCAAAAAGTCTTTTCATTTAATTTATTCTTTCTGTATAAAACTTATATTCTAATCTAAACCATCACGTGGGCAAAACAGGATAAAGTAAATAGGTAGAAGAAAAATGCTGTAGAAATAGATGCTGTTCATTTGTTTAAAAAGTAAACTCGCTTTTGGCAGCCAGGCAAGTAGATTTTAAAAGCTTTGAAAATCAAATCCTCACATTAGAACATAAAAATCCTTGTTTAAAATTAAATTCATTTCATTTAGCACCTTTTTAAGACTTTAAGACTATGTAAAAATAGTCCAGACATTTTATTGGCAGTATTGGAAAATAGCTTTTGTAAAATGCTTAATTAAAGCCTGCGGTATGTTTTGTCTAATAAGTGCTGCCCGGCTCTTAGATGGTAAGCATCATTTACTGGAAAACATTACTGGGCCCTGAATGAGAAATGAAAGACTTTTTAAAATTACTTTTTTAGAATAATGAAATGAATACATTACACCAATCAGGTTTTAGCACAACTATTGTGCTACGGATTTTGAAGCTATTGATCAAATTGTCAA